GGGGATATCCCACGCTATCCTGAGAGTCCACGTCTACATCAAGACAAACTCTACAATCTACATGCAAAGATTAGGGAGCAAATACATTGACAGGGCTGCCACTTTATTTGGGGACTCCAAAATTGAAAACACGGCATCACTGCTACTGTATTTGCTCCCTATCTTTGCATGGAGAGTTCGTCTTGATGTAAAGGTGGACTCTCAGGATAGCGTGGGAAATCCCCTCCATTTTGGCATCAACTGGAGAGCTTTTTTTTGAGCTTGGGAGTTAATTTTAGAGAAAACCAGTGGCACCATCGTGTTTCTCGCGAACTTTTACATAAGAATCAACAATCAAATCGCAAATTCCTCACACATGCAACATCTCCATTCTCTGTTTTTTTCCGTTTTTTTTTCCCAGGTCCAAACCGGCCTCAACATGCAGGGCCGGATTTACATTTGTAGCGCCCTAGGCTAAACTTCGGGTGGCGCCCCTGAAAGTGGGCGCTCTCGTGGGGGGGGGTGTCCCCCAGACGCCCCTCCCCTCCAAATCAGAAGAAGGATGTTAGAAGTCAGGAAAATGTTCAAATTCACCTTTAAAAAAACACGATTTAAACAGTTTTTAATAAGTCACGTTTTTTAATAAATTCTCAAAAATTTTGCGCCCCTCAGAATGTTGCGCCCTAGGCTATAGCCTATGTAGCCTATTGGTAAATCCGGCCCTGTCAACATGGGTCTGATGTGAGGGCCGATTTTGGCGAAAAATGCGAGTTTTGAGGGATTGCGGCTGGGCGCCAAAAAATTCGCATTTTGCGCCAAAATCGGCCTTCAGACGCATGATTAGCTAAGTATTAGACCTAAGTAAGGAGAGACCGGAAATGACCAAATTATGTTGCATCCTGTGAAATACAGACGCTCAAAGACCAGAGTATCGTGGAGTTAAGGAAATTCAGCCAAGGCAAGCTCAAAAACGGCCCGCATGGATGCCCCTCCGTGACCCTTAAAAATATGGGTCACTTATCCTGATTCTCAAAAATATGGTCTTACTCCGATAAACTCTGACTACGTCTTTTACGAGGCATAGATGAAATAACACTGAGTAGACAACGGTGCCGATGCTGATCAAATACTTCCAGGAATGGATCACACATACCCACTACGCTGAAAATGAAAGACCAACACGACCTAGCGATGTTTCTTTTTCTGCCTTTCTTCACTATTTACACAGTGCCGAGGCGCTGCCATGTCCATTTAAGGTCGAGATAATCTTGTGGGGCTGGCGGTCTTCACGTACCGATACGTGCTCGAAACTCGCGATTCCTGGGAGGATAGCTCAAAGGAAGGAGGTTTTTAAACCAGAGAGAGGAGGAAGACTTTGCCTCGAGAGCTTGTGATCAGTCCCATCGGAAAACTTACAACGGTTTCAAGCAATGAAAATTGAGTGTACGGTTGTAAGTATAGCAATTTCAAAGTGATGAGCGGTGAAATATCCCTTGAAAGAAAAAAAAAAAAACAAAAAAACAAATTGACGTATTTCTATCAAACGGACCTAAGCGCCATAGGGTAAGGAAGGTAGAGGGGGGGGGGGCTTGGATTGGCGGCGGAATCGGGCGTCCGGCTTATTTCGTCCTGTACTCGCAATGCTTTTCCATGGCGCTTAGGTCCGTTTGACAGAACGCGCTATTCGGGATTCTAAACTCCTTAAAAGGAACCTAAATTGGACGTATTTCTGCCAAACGGAACTATGTGCAACACGACATGAGCCTTGAGACCCATAAAGATAAATGCATAACAGGGCTCACGTCACAATGCACATAGTTCCGTTTGGCAGAAATACGTCCAATTGGCGCTTGGTTCCGTTTGATAGAAATACGTCCAGATATGAGGTAGTCATCACTCCACATCACGCGCAATGAAATATCCCTATTATCCCTCCTAGAGTACCTTTATAGACAGAGTATGGCCATTCGTATCTTTTTACTACAGGAAAACTGTTCCGCTTTTTGATTGGTCAACGAGTTTTTAGGCTTCATGATGCTCTTAGGGCATCTTAGGGCCGTAAATAAACAAACAACATGGCGGCTCACCGTAACATCGATGAGAAGCTAAATTTGACAAAAATTTCAATTATGCGGCAGTAACAATTTAAACGAGCATATCTACGAACAGCACACGAAAAACACATGAAAACATTGTTAAATTGCCTTTCACCTTCATCACAGGAGGATGTAAGATGTGCATAACCTCAATCTTGCTTGCTGATAACGGCCATCTTGTTTGTTTATTTACGGCCCTAAGAGCATCGAGTCAGCCTATTCGCTCGCGACCAATGAAAAACCGGAACAGAAATGGCCATACTCTGTCTATAAAGGTACTCTAATCCCTCCTCCTTCCTTCCTGGAGCAATCATGACGTCTGAGAGTGATACCACTATTCGGCCACGCGGGGGCTGGTGTTGTCTACACCGAAAACTGAAGGCAAACTGACACTGAGATAAATTACAGCTCTACGTCACGCAAAAAAAGATTACCTGATAATTTTCGATTTTTCAGGTTGTTAAGCGCCCTGGTATTTATCGTATTTTTTGACAAAAAATACGGTCAAGAGGACCCTCGGACTCTGTCTTCGTGGGGGTATTCCATACCCCTGACCCCTCCCCCCTCCACGGCGTGGGGCCCGGGCCCCTCATAAGTGTACGCCATCCGGGTCTTTCTTTACCAGTCCAGCCCTGGAACCAGAGGTTATTATTTGGAGGCAGCTCTTCCGTAATAGGGGTTTAAAGGGACCCTTCCTGAGAAAAGAAAATCTGAGGCTTGTCTCCTTTCCATGCCCGAATTCGACTTATTGTGAGGATGTCTGCAAGCGTTTCAAGGTGATCTTAAAATTAAATGCTTGTTCTGAAATAGTAATTTCTTCCTTTCTTACCTACTTTGGTAAATTTTACCATTTTTTTCTTACTTTTAATTACATTTTACAACAAGTAACTGAGCCAACAGTATTTCATGTTAAAGTACGCGGGCATCATCGTATGATCATAGTAAATGCAAACTATTATAGCTTCATCTATGCAGCACATTTCTTTTCCTAAATGTGTGACAGGTCACAGGAAGAGGAATTTTACGAACAATTTGTGTTAAAATTCTGGCACAAATTGAGACATCGAAACCACTGCTTGGCAGATTAATCTGCAATTACTTTGACGATTAAGAAACTCAAAAGAGAAACCCAATTAAAGATTTAATCCATCATGTTCAAGGCTCAATATTACCAAATTTAGGCTCAATTAAAACCCTCTAAGTATTAATAACCATATCACTTTCAATGTATTCTTGTAAATACTAGAGCACCGGTATATGCCATCTCAATCCTTTTACTACAGAGAAAGTGCGCCGCTCTCTGATCGGTTGGCTATCATGGAACCCCAAAGTTGGCTCAATGTAAACAAACCCAGCCCCTCCGCTCCTAGTTTGGCCAATACCCCCTAGACTGACCTAGGTCAGTCTAGGGGGTATTGGTTTGGCCCAATGCAGACAAACAAGATGGCAACAAAGTTCTGCAAAGCTCTAGGTCTAGACGTGTTTTTGGATGTGATAGAAATTTTTTTATCATCAACTTCTGAATTGAGTTCGAATCGAACTTTGATGGATACCTTTACCTAAAATTAACCTTTCGGTGTGATCATCATTCATTTCTCAGCCAATAATACGTGTTCCTCTGGGTCAGGTTTGTTTACATTAGGCCAACTTTGAAGCTCCAGAGTAGCCTAAAAGTGATGAACCAATCAGAGAGAGGCACAGGGATGGCAATTCTCTTCCGTAGAGAGGTACTCTGGTAATTACAAGTATGCTTTTAAAACTCAGGCTCCAATTTTTAAACTCAACTCATGAATAATAATTGTCGATTCGCACTGAGGTGGCTTATTGTTGCAAATTGATAAGTGCACATTATATAAAAGTCTCTTGCTATGCTTTAGGTACATAGTTTCCCGAAGACAAGAACGAGTGACTGATATGCATCGCCTTCCCTACGGAAATGAAGAATCTCTTGAGAACACTGAACAAGAGCCTCTTGATCCGTTGGGAATAAATATACATTAGGGTCAATAGAATTGTGAGTCAATAAGATTGACACTATTCATGGGTCCTCTAGGTTGGAGGAAGGGAAGGAGGTACAATGTTTTATCAGGACGACAGATCTCTTCCAAACTTAAGACCCATTCTTACAATTTTTCTCCTTCTTGAAATATGACTACCTATTACTTCAATTATAATAAATTCTAGAGGGTCAAAATAGTCTGTAAGGTCAATGATTTGAGTTATTAAAAATAGGTCTGCAAGCTACATTATGATTGGCATGTAGGTTAACCTAAAATTTTAACAAATATATTACCTGCAAAACTGGTGGAAAGGGTTCTAGCCAATTTATGCTCATACTTTCTATATCGATACATCTTCATTGACAATAAGGAATTACTTAATGGAGAGGGGGGAGGATCTGCTGTCCGTGCTTTACTGAGAGCCTTCAAATCCAACTGCAAAAAATGCGCAGGAGCGGAGTACGCAAACCATAGTAAGCGGAGAGAGTGGTGCTATTCTCAAATAGTAAAATACGCACAGTATCATGGGAAAAAAGGATAAGACAATCATGTGCCTTCAATTTTAAAGTCTCTGCTAGCCAGATAAGTTGAAAAACTCGAGTCGGACATTGCGCGAAATGAAATGTAAACACGGTTCAGATAAATAGAGGTTTCAGTTTTCTCTTCAGAGGAGCTTAGACAAAAATAACAGGATCTTCAGTAAACAAAAGACTGCAGACAAGAATTGAGGTAAAATGATGCTCACACGGTATGAAGAGGCGAGCAAAGTAAAAGAGTGAGTACATACTCATGGCAGAATTCTTTGAAATGACCTGTTGCCTGCACCATGTTGTACAGTCAAGGCTGAGTTCAGTGAGGCAGTAAATGCGGATTGTAATAAGTCTTTCTCGTGACAAGAAGCTTCAAAATTTTGTTAAACACATACCTATATATCTGAAGGAGATGAGGGTAATCCTTGTGGAACAAAAATAAAAGTGAAACCAGATTTGCTCTACCGTTTCAACGAGCACTACATAACGCGATCACACAAGAGAAAACACTAATAATGCACTAACACATTGATAAAGACACAATGCACAATGCACGCATTGCACAAAATGCCTGTCAGAGCGAGCCACTGTCTACCTCTGTACAGTAAGTTGCATGGCTCCTTTTTGAAGGCGTTTTATATATCCGAGCCAGTGGATCGCCGGAAAGACGGCTGACAATCCTTTCGGCTTTCACCTTCATTCACCATTTCACCCTTCTTTAGGGGATCCCTCAGTCCACCTTTTAGTTAGGAGTTCCAGATTAGATAACAACCTAATCAAACGATGCCTCCGGGATATGCTTCCGTAAAAGATCGTTTAATGATGACTAAAGTGTCTCCGAAATTTTATTCTTGAAGGGTGATTGGTTCACAATAACCAAGGTAGTAACGTCGCCAGTTTATTTTTTAGCATTTTAAAAGACTTGGAACAATTAAAGTTATGAGGAATATATACTCTGGAATGTACAGGGTGCCCTAGCCCACCCGTATCAGACTTCTTTCTCGGTTATTTCAGGTCAAATGAAGTCAGAGACCGCAGGGATGAGTAGAGAATCGACCCCAAGAATTATTTCACGGCTCCGGAGCCTCCTAGGCCTATTTCAGGGCGTAAAAGGGGGGTCGTGATATTAACAGTTGGGCTTCCTTTCAAATTTTTTCCATCAAATTCTAAAAGTAGGGAAAATTTTACCCCGAGTCCAGGTACCATGGAACCCAAAATTGGTCAATTCCTGCTCGAAATATTGGCCCCTAAAGTTGGGGGACAGAGCCCCCTCCCCAAAATCTAGTGTCTCCAGTGTCTATAAATGCTCAGGAAAACGAAAGTATCCTGTATGGAATAATTTCCGTAATCCACTTTGGTGGGGGTATTACTGATTCCTGATTCTCCGCATCGCATTAAAATATGTTTGTGGGGGTGCTGGGCTGATTTTGGATTCCTGGCGGTCGATTATACATGGAAATAGCCTTTTTCTGAGCCTCTGCGTCACTTTAAGGACACTGAATTTTAAGGAGGGGGCTCTGTCCCCTACTCAAAGGTATCAATAATTCGAGTAGGAATTGGATTCCATGAAATTGGTATTCAGGTTAAAATGTTCCGTACTTTTAAATTTGATGCAATAATTTCAGAAAATTTTGACGGGAACCCCAACGTTTAATGCCACGACCTCTCTTTCCCTTCCTGAGGATGCCGAGAGGGCTTTGGAACCGTGAAATTTGAATTCTTTAGGGTCGATTCTTTATTCGTCCTTTCGACCAGCTTATTGATTCTCCAAAAAAAGTGGGAAGGCAACCACGTAAATCCTTCTGCTAAACAAGTCCTCAATACCTAACTATAATGCATTAACTGATTGGAAACTTGAGATTTGATAATAATTATGCAATGCAATATGGAAAATGTATTCTTGTCTCTTGTAAAATGTACTCTCGGTCTTTCTTCTGCATCTACAATTTCACTTTTTGGAGAGAATATTCACTAAGATATTCACTAAGCTCATCACTTTTTTCAACGTCTAGGAGAGAGCCCTCTACCTACTTCAATAAATTCTGTTTATTTTCCTCTTAATTTAACAATTAATTCAGGTACCACTTCTTCTAGTTATTTATTCATACTTTGTCTTTCTTCTGCATCTACAATTTCACTTTTTTGTCGTAAATTTTTCTCTCTCTATTGAGCCTTAAAAATATTTTTTTTGTTCTGTCAGGCTGTGCTAACCATTGTTTAGTTATTTTCTTGTTGTTTATTTTTTTTGGTTTAGTAACATATGCCACACAAGCTCATTTTTGGCATATGGAGCTGTTTTATTGTACTTATGTAAATGTACATTTTCGAAATAAATAAATCTTGAAATCGTGAATCTTGTATACCATCTTTTATTTCGAGACTCTCCGTTGACGCTCTATTTTTGACAGGAGCGTCAATTTGAATTTTGTGCTGCTTGGCGGGAGCTGCGGCTCAACGTTGACATCAAGTCCCGAACCGCGTCATCCATCGATAATCTTTTAGTTAGCGGCTTCCGTGGATTTCTTTGAACACGTAAGTTTACTTTGATATTTTCCCAATTTATCCATAAATAATTTCGTAATCCGTGCATTTCAAACCTATTTTCTCTAATTCTAACGTTCTGCAATTTCAGGTGTTGTGATTCCAGCTCATTACCATCATGTCCGACGTAGAAACGTAAGTATTATTTTCAATGTTTTCGACATGGTTTGCCATGCCCAATTCTCCTTTTAGTTATTCAACCGTGCCTTATCTCCAAATTTTGGCCCCCCTATCTCTTCCTTGAGAGACAATTTCCCTGATTATGATTTCGAAATTTTCGATAATTTTCCTCTTTACATTGGTAACTATTACAAATTTCATCTTTACTCCTGGGGATGTACATAACCTCTAAACAACACACCATTTTTGTATCACCTGTGAAATTAATTTCAACCGATCTTTCAAGGCGTACATTTATTGGAGGATCCAACAATAAATGCTATCTTTCTTCCTTGCATGGACTCCTTGAGGTCCATATCTCAATGTTTATGCGCTTTCATGTAGTGTCAACCTACTCCACTGCTGTGATAAGCAAGAATCGCCGTTCTCTATTCCACGGTTTACTTAATTTCTCGGGCATATCTTTCTGTGAAATGTCATGTTTCATACCCATGTAGTTCACTATTCAGGGATTCAAATTATCGAGTATGAAGTACTTCCTCCAAGAAACTGAACCATGGGTTCATGGGTACGTGCCACAGCCTTTTTTGTGGAATTGAGACGGGGAGGAACATGGACTGATTAAGTGACTACGCCATCTGATATAATGTGAAACTCCTGGTTCAAACCTAAACAAACTAATATCACCTCGCACTCAAATTCCTCTAGAGACAATTGTGTTAAATTGTTAGAATTTAGCCCTTAAGTGGTCATAAATCATTCAAGGACTCATTGAACCTAAGGAATTTTGATTGTATAAAATACTGAGAGGCATTTCACCACCATGGCGCATTAGGCATGAATCAGAATCAAGGTTATCTGTTTGTTTACATTTGAACCATGACGTAGCCATTGAATCAGTTGATGGGAGTGTTACTTACGACACATGCTATTTTAGCCAAATGACTTTCCACTCTTAACTATTTTGCAGTCTTAATCTTGGGAGTTGAAAAATGCATTATTTGTGGTACCCGCTCCTTGATGCTATATAGATAAATATATTGATGGACTCGGCTGGATTTTGTATACTGACAGTGAAGTTCCCAAATTATGTATCATGTGTGCGGTGTTTTAAAATCTCCCCTTCTATTACATCTTCATTCAAAGAACAAATCAGCATTATTCCTTGAATATTCTCAGAAATTCCTGTGCATTAAGAAGAGAAATGGTGGAAGTTTTCAAGCATTAACGTTGAGTTGTTCTCCATTTCTAAAATAAAGTAAGACAAGAAGTCTGCAACATAGCCCATGGAGATACATTACTTCGGAGTTTTACTGTTAGTATGCCTTGAAGTATCAGAAAATTGGAGATGAAACTTTAAAACAGAACTGTAGCGCTCTTATCCGAGGTTCAACTGAAATCTGTCTGTTTGAACTGTCACTGCTTGAACTGGGATAAAAGTACGTTTTGCCTAAGTTATGGTAGGGTATGATGAGGTACAATCACCTGAATCACCATCATTCCTTTTGTTTGATTCATTTGACGATGTAAGTCTCCAAAGTTAGGATAATCTCAGTAGTATCTCTGTATTGGCTCCATTATGCAGCTGAAATGAAGTCAATAACTTCTTGTTTCTATGTTAGAATTCACTTTTTTCTTTTATCAATATCAGAGGTAATTATTTCAGAGCACAATTTTTAACATTAAATCACCAGCTCATTCTTAGCTTTCTCTGGATTTTCTTTTGTATTGTCTCATTTTGACTTAGTCAAAAAATTCAAGTAACCAGTTACTCCTTACTTACCACAGTTACAACTTTCACACTATAGGGATAGTTTTCTCCAATGTTGAGCTTGTTTTTTGTACTGCTGTTTTTGACTTAGATTTAGAAATAATTAAAGTTCCCTCTATTTCCCTCTAGTGATGATGTTGGCACTGACGAAGGACAGAAGGACATCTTCACCTCATTGAAGGAAGTTTTAAAGAACGCTTTAATCGCGGATGGAGTTGCAAATGGACTTCACGAAGCCGCCAAAGCCCTAGACAGGTATACTTCTTTAGTATTCTTAAAACTGGAGAAAGGAAAGTATGGGCAAGTGTCATATCAGAAAATGTCACCACTCAACAGTATGTGGTAACCAATGTACCAACTGATAATTGATGTATTCAGGTCGAAGTGACATTTTTCTATTCTTTTCTTCCACAAGTAAAAGATCCTCTCAGTGAAACTTCAAACCCAAAGCAGGTCTTTTCTGAACGGGTATTATTTAGTCAACATTTTCTCTCATTAACATACAAAATGTCAAAATTAGTAGGATTTTATTCTGAGATGGAAGAAGCTGCATCCTCTCATCAGCAGTACAATACTTTAGTTTATCTCGTGAAGAGGAACAGGCAATGGCGGGATGTAGGGAGCAGCTCAGATTTTTGTTTGAGGTTTGCAAATGTAGTCAAACTATAGCCACAGCCGAACCAGTTTGAAGGAAGGAAAGAACATCAATGGCAGTTCTTGAAAAACTTTGATGGCGTTTTATTTATTACAAGGAAATTTAATTTGAATGCCTCATCGTGATTTTAGGAGATAGTTTTAGGGTAGGAGATGAATAGTCACAAAAACTCAATTAGAAAGTATTGTTCGATTTTCCTTCTACAAATTGGAACTTGAGAAGAGATCATGAGCATCGCAATCACAGGAATGCATTTTTGACCTAGGTCTCAATATGTAAATAAAAAATTGTCTTCCTAGTTTCGCAAATAACATTTTGTAAGTATCACCAAGGCGTAAGTCTGAAATTCAATTGACACCATGTATTAGCTGTTGCTTTTAACCAATGTTAGAATTGAAACTTTGTTTTATCAACAAATTTTGTTAGAATATAGAATCATTTTTCTAAACACAGTTTGGTAGTCCTCTTGCACTATGATTATATAATGATAAACGTTTAGATTTAATTTAGTTTTTGATAATTTTTTCCTCCTCTCCCCCCCCCCCCCCCNTTTTCTTGCAAGGCTCACTTGATTTTTATATTTGCTTTCTTATGTCTTTAGTCGCAGGGCAAGATGCTGTGTTCTGGCTGAGAATTGTGATGAGCCAGCTTATAAAAAATTAGTCCAAGCTTTATGCAATGAGCATGGAATCCCTCTCATCAAAGTAGATGACAACAAAAAGCTAGGCGAATGGGCAGGACTTTGCAAAATTGACAGCACAGGGAAAGCAAGAAAAGTTGTAGGATGCTCTTGCGTAGTCATCACGGTGAGTTTGCCTGTAATCACAATACTACTTTTATTTTGACTGCGTTCAGCAAAAAGGAACCAAGTCAATTTTTGGGTAATTCCAATACACGGTTGATTCAAACGGGCCCAGTACTCCTAATTTTTTGTTAAAAGCATTTCATCCAGAAACAGGTCTTTCATTTTGAAATTTGGGTTGCTTTGAAGGTTTTGCAACTCATAAAAAAAAAAGGAAGTATGCGGGAGTTCAATTGCTCCGCTTTTGGCAGAATTCAGATATCCCTACCACCAAATCCTCACTAGAAACATTACTGAATTCTTTGGCAACATAGTCCCAGCAGCATCCAAAATCGAAGTCACAGAAAGGAACCATGAGCTCTTGGTTCGTTTCTGTAAATTTGTCTGCCGGCTTGACAAAATCCGTCACAGAATCAATTTAGGTTTCGCCCATTATGAAATAAGCAACACAAAACCAGTGCAGTTACATACAAGCAGGCGAAGCATTGATTTCAATTATCTCATTGAATAAAATCCTGTTTAAGAGCATTAGCTGGAGAAAGTTCAATTTTTAGAAGTTCCCAACGGATTTTGAAAGCAGTAGCACCAAACCTTTCACTCCAATTTTCTTTAAGTCAGCGCAAAATGATTTGGTTCCTTCCTGCTAAATTTGGTCCATTGTAAGGTCTCTGTGGTTGTATGTCTAAAATTCAAGGAAATGTTAAAGCAGGATACTTTAATTGGGTTTCAGTCAAACAATAAAATTGGATATTAGAGCTCCTAGAAGATAATTGTACTTTTCAGATTTTCATGGAGCAAATAGCAAAACGAGCTATGATTGACAATAAAAACCCTTTTTTCCCATCCTTTCTGTGGACTGATCTCAATTTTTAGTATTCTGTTTTGTCGTACAGGGTGTGACTTAATTCATACTTTTACATTGGTGACAACGCGTTTGCTGGAGCAGCAGCGTTTTCAAGTTGCAGACCTCCGGGTCATTAAGTTGATGAAGAAATGAATGTATTGATGTGGAAGTACCTTCAAATTTTTTTTAAAAATGTGTCATCTCATGAGCCCTTGTTGAGCAATCACATTGTATAATAGTTTGAGAGCGCATTGTTGCCAGTCTTATGATTTAAAACTTCAGAAAATTTGCCACATGACATTGCATTTTCAACTTCTGAGATTTTATGGGGTTCAGAATCAGTCATTCTGATCTATACCATACTTAAGTAACACGTTGTGTTACCTTGCTAGATGGTCTATACCATACTTCATACATCCTTTCACCGTGCTGGATTGAATGTATGTGATCATAAGCCTATGTTCAATTGGTTTTTCTTCGGTTTTCCATAACAACGGTGAGTTCCTTTTTCACCCAGGGACTTACCTTTAAATCGTTTGCGGTAAGATGCAACGTGGCAAATTTTAATGTGTATCTACATACACATTCACAAGGTGAGCAGTGTGCAAAGTTTAGAAGAAATTAGTGCAGACCATTCTCTTCATCACCCCTCGTACACTTTTGTTTACCTAATTGCGTATGTACCCAATAAATACCTGCATATTTACCTGCATTTATAAATCCCTGGATTTTTAGCAATGCTGTCAACAAAGACTGTCAGAGAGACTAAGTACTACCGTGAGTTAGCCTGGCTACTTCATTTGAATACTCACAAATTATCACTCAGTATTCTGTTCAAGTATATCTGATTAATTGGACAAGGGAATTACTACTTGAGGATGCAAAGGCTCTATGTATAACTACAGTATAAGCATTCTTTGTATTGTATCTTGTCATCAACTAATGAGTGATCAATATCATCTGAATGAAAGTAGTTTGAACTGTTTCAAACTGGTTAAATAAGATCAAAAACCGGTAACAGTCAATATTGTTTCTGGAAGTTAGGTAGTGAAAGCTCTTTCCTGAAAAGATCACTACAGCAAAAATTAGAAAGTCCCTTTTAAGCTAATGTGCAGTATTTATTAGGAATTTATTTTTTCTTAGTTCCAATTCATAAGCGAGGGTTGCTAAAGTTTGACTTTTTTCTAACTATTTCCAGGATTACGGAGAAGAAAGTCCTGCATTAGACCACCTCAGAGAATTCATCAAAGTTAGTGGAGAATAAATGTTTTTAATGTTTAACTTAAAATAATTTTTTTTTTTTTTTTAATAAATTTTTATTTAAAAAATTGGAACTTTCTGGTTTTTGTTTGTGCCAAATCCTGTTGCTAATTTATCAATTAATTAATTTGAAACTTCAAGGAAAAGATTTTTCTCTAAATTGAGTCCTGCATTTTGAGCCTTCTCTAACAGATATGTTGCTCGCACAAGACACATTCAAGTGAATTAACTCTCCATGGCTAAAATTGCCCACAAATCACTGTGCGCACTGTATAAGAGTCTGAAATCCTCTCTTATCATGCAATTTGTCTAAATTGTTGGTGGGCAGTTTTTCTTAGTTGCCAGCGACCAGATTTGCCCGAAAAGAGACACAAGAAAATATAACCTGAGAAGAAATAATCCTGCAAACTTCTCTCTGCATGTCATTTCAATTGTTCTCAGAGTTTGTTTCCTCCTTATTTCTTAGTGTTGTAGAAATAAAATGTGGTAATTAGGTATGACTGCACATGAAGAAGAAAGATTGTAATAGCGTACATTATTGTCAGATTAGATTTTCTTGCGTCTTTCATTGAGTAAAACCGACCCACGGTTATACAGAAAATCTATCCTCAGACGAAGGAAGTTTGCAAAAATGTGTTACGAACTAAGCAGATGGCTCCCGAAAGAGTATTTTCATGTCTTTTCTATGTGCCTATTGTGATTTTTGTGTAATTTTACCTTAAGTCTGCTCACTTGGCAGTATCTGTTGCCTGCAGCCAATTGAATTAAGCATAATGCCCTGCAGCAAACCTGTAGTATTTGACGGCTATTGTCAATCATTTTTACTTTCTTGCTCCCCCAGGGTAGAGGAAGTTTTTTCATCCTCGAAGAAAAAAAGAAAAAAAAGTTGAAATTTTCTTTCATGTGGCAGCTTCTATTCTAGTAGAAGGCACAAATAGTTGCACACAGGCATAGGATATTAGTACCTTCTGTTCTTCAGTTTTGATACTGCAATTTGCTGAGTACGATTTGCCCATATCTATTTCCTGTATAAGGAGACGACTTAAATAAATTTAAAAAAAAAAAAAAAAAAAAAAAAAAAAAAAAAAAAAAGACTTATGGAGCAACTATTCATGCCTGAGAGCTGTCCTCTACTTGTGTAATTGAAGAATTTAAGGCACTTCGTCATTTTTGATCCTCGCAGTAAAACACGATGAAATTAGCCTTCCAGAGTGGTTGGACATAAAATTTTCGACTAAATTTGCAAATTTAGATGTCACTTTCTTCACACTATAAATTTATCAGGGTGCTCTCAAGAAAATTTGACAAGAAAATCAATGAAACCTCCACGCTCTGTATTAACATCATATGAGTTTTTAACATGTCCACATTTTGTAAGACTCCTCTCATGACTTGCTCCACTGAGCGCCGGTGAGGCGGTTAGTGTTTGAAGTCCAAACACCTTCACTTTCGTGCGTATGTAACACGGACATCCATGAACCCCGAATAGTTGCATACAGGCGTTGTAAAGGAATTCGTACGGTATCCATTGTATGCCACACTTTTCTTACACCTTATCTTAATTCCAGTGTTGTGTATTGTACCGATAAAGTAGACCATTACTGACTTTTATCGCAACATTCACTTTTCCAAAAAATGCACACTCAAATGTCTCACACCGTAGCCAGCCTTCGCAACAATGTAGCTGCAAAATGCGAATCTAAAATGCAGTGTTTCAAAATCTCCGCCTCTATTTCACTTTCAAAAGACCATACCAATAGCTTGACTTGAAATTTTCACATGGAGAAAAAAAATTCACCGAAGTTTCAAAAATATGACGTTGAGTAGTTTTCAATGTTGAAAATAAAGTATGTCTGAAAATTTGCAATGCCACAAAACGCTGTACGCGTTTCTGGTGTTTCACCATCGGTATATCGATGGCAAAAGTGCGACACCACGTATCTCCATTTCGGTATTTCAAAATCTCCGCACCCAGTTTATTATTTTGAAGAGGAACCAGTTAATTTTATGGCTCGAAATTTTGTACAGAATACCTACCAACAGAACAGAAAAAGCAAGGAAGTTGTTAAGATTTCACGCCGACTAGTTTCCTAAGGAAAATACGAAGTGGGTATGATCGGAAATCTACAATGTCGCAAACGGATGTACGTGGTATCGCACTTTCGCTCTCGATATCCTGCTCCACAACCTTTGATAGAGCTCATAATACTGCCGTGCTAAGGAAAAATGCCGTATAAACCTCCAGGCGCTGCCAAATTTTCTTTGATAAAACACGGATTCCCTGGTAAACTTATGAATATTTTTCTTTTAATTTGTTCGATAATTCTTTTCGTATTTTGTTCTAAAGCTCCTTAAAATTTCTAGGAAAAATATTTATAACTTTCCTCAACAATAAACATTTAATCAAATGAAATTTGGCAACCCTCGAATGTTCATACGGCGTTCTTCCTTTGCACGGCAGAATAGATAGGTAACACGTGAATCTGTCGGTGGTCATCGTCAACTTACGGTTCGCCTTCAGTTTCGCCTCATAGGCAACAAACATACCAGTAAGCGCGGATTGTTATTGAGGTAAAAACAGGCTCCATAAACGTTGATAAAGTGGACTAAGAATGCATTAGCTTATTGGCAAATATCGTCAACCCAAAAATCGCCTTCAATTCACCAGTTCTACCCAACGTTGTATCACAGGGGTTTCCATTTGGAACAAATAAATATATAGAGGGTGGGACTAAACATTTTAACGACAATACAAGATAGTTTTTTCCAAGATAGGGTCATCGCCAAAGTTTCATTCCTCTATTCTCAACCGTTCAAAATTCAAGGGGAGCGAGGGACGGGGCCGGATTAAGGGGTTGGCCACATGGACCGCGGCCCATGGCAGCAGAATGTAGGGGGCGGCAAATTTTGCTATCTTCTTGAATGTAGGTATGAAAAAAATAAAGATAAAAATCGGATTCAGAGAATAAATTACAAACGAGAAAATCTCTCATATCCTGAGAGTAAAAGTATAGTAATTTCTAATTTTGTTGTCTTTCGGTGATACAAGAGACAACACCTTTAATTAGTCGAGTTAAGAGAGAAACCAAACACGTAATTTGACCTGGAACGGCGCGGCGGTCGAACGCATAGCGCCTACAAGACTGCATGAATACTTCACGCATTGTGTCAAACTGTGTGGTCAGCAGCGGTCGGCGTCGGCGTGAAACGCATAGCGCCTACAAGACTGCATGAATACTTCACGCATTGCGCCAACACAGTGTGGTCGGCGCGGTGCGGCGGTGGAAGTTAAAATTATTAACCACATTTATGTTTGTTCTTTCATAATTTTTGCGTTCCTTTTTTAAATATGGAAGGCCTTGTCCGAACAGGGATGGGTTTACGGAACTGAACTTTTGTTAGTGTTGACAGGGCTTTTACAAAAAATGTGCCCAACACGAGTAAACGCGTCTCATACACCTCTCCCCCGCCAGCACGTTCACTTGATGGTTTTTATAGATCGTATTCGACAGATCATACAGGCGAGATAACATTGATATCGATTAGTTCAATATGTAACCCACAGCCTCAAAAGTCAATTGAGAAATCTGAGGTAACGGGTCTTATGTGATCAAATTTTTATTCTCTCGAGTACCAAATGGCAATGAAAAGTGAAATTGTTAGGAATTTTCTCATTTTCAGCTTTTCCAAACTAAATCCTAAAATTTTTGTTTGAGGTCATGTTCTACTGTTTTGAACCAAACGATACATCGAACCACTGTCGAATACGATCTATTGATGTTTCGAAACAAATGAGAAGGGGGCGGAAAAATACAGGCAGCCTATGGGCGGGAAGTAGGTAAATCTGGCCCTGGCAAGAGACACCCCGTACACCCTGTAGGTTGCACTCGATGGCTGAAGTCCGAAACCACGTAGGTATCTCCGAATACGACACCGCAGACTTCCGAGAATACTTTATTTTTTTCGTTGGAAAACCAGACAACGTATTTTCTTAAAAACTGTCTTACGATTTTTCTTCTCTGACAGCCGAGTATTCTGTGTAAATTTTAAGCTATGACATTGACTTGTTTTTTCTCTCCAAAAAAATAAAGTAGGTGTGAACATTTTGAAACCCCGTGATAGAGATCGTGGTTTTGAATTTAGCCATCGAATTGCTTTAATTTCCGGGAAGGGCGCTTCTAATATTTTCAGTTGTGACACCTCGGAATTACAGTGAAAGCTCGCTAAGTCGAATTGTGTAGGGACCGAAAAAAAAATTCGACTTAAGCGGCAACTCTCCTTAACCGACTCTCCACTTAACTTAAGGACGTGTTTAGAGACCGAAAAAAAATTCGACTTAATCGGCATTTCGTCCTAACCGTGGTGCGACTTAGCGAGATTTTACTGTATTAGGAATTCTAAAGTATGGGGAAAAACTGGTCCAGATCGGAAAGGGAAACAATCATGGACCGCAGTAAAGTAAAAAAAAAAAGAAAAAAAAGAAAAAAAAATTGGACGGCCTTCCATGGTTCCTCTTAAAATATCATCAGAACCTGTAACGTGTGATTAATGGCGGAAAGCCGCCACGCGCAGGTGCGCAGGTGCCCAGGTCAGTGGCACGGGTTTTTCGGATCCCCGCCGGATCATTCCGCGACTGTGGGCAATTTCTTGAGGAAAATTTCAATGTTTCTGTAAATATGACGAACGGTTATTATTGGCGGGAAACGATGCTCGGCGAGTGATGAAAAACGTCCCAAGGTAAACGCGTCTCGCGGAGTGCGAGCCACGCGCGTCAGACGTTTTCTCGCACTCGCGGATTAAATATGAGAATCAGTAGCGTGGCGTGAATTGCGGTATATCGATTGATATGTAATTTAAACCTATGGTAAAGAATCGATTATCAAGGTGTTCGCTGCGAACACCCTGTTTATCGATCCTTTTCCATAGGTTTAAATGGCATAACAATCGATATATCGCAAAGCACGCCACGCCACTGATGAGAATGCGTCTCCGAGAGGATGGATCGCAAAGGGTATTTTCGTCTGGCAAGTAAAGTACCTGCTGTTACCGTTAGCCGAAAGCTTTAAGCTCTGGT